TTGATATTAAAATATATATTTATATTTTTATAATTATTAAAATAATTTTTATAATTTATAAGTAAGTTTAAAAGTAATTTAATAATGATTTTAGCCATTTTTATAATTTATAAATAAGTTTAAAAGTAATTTAATAATTATTTTCGCCATTTTTATAATTTATAAATATTTTTTTAATTATGAAACTATTTTTGTATTTTTATAACAATTTTTTATTTTTTAATTATTTCTATATTAATTTAAATATTCTTTTAATACTTAATTTTTCATTTATACTTTTAAAAACTAATTTTAAATCTTTATTTTAAAAAAAAAATTATAGGGATTCTGGTGAGCAGAGTACGATGGCTCGACCTCGTCGTTCCACACCGCGAGGCTGTGGTCCTTCGACGACCCCTTCTCGGGTTTCGTCCAGCCGGTCTCGGGGTTCCTCTTCATCATCGCAGAACATCCATCCCGCTCTGGTTCATCAGGCGGCTCCTCCTCCCGCTGCTGCGGCTCCTCCTTCCTCTGCTGCGGCTCCTCCTGCCGTTCACGACTTTCCAGACATTCCCGAGCCTCATGTCGCTCCAGGAGTGATGTCTGTTGCACAGCTGGTGCAACAGCCAGGTCGTGAGCATCTCCCCTATCTCACTCAGTGTCCTAAGGGACACAGTCAGACTTGGTAAGTGAAAGTTATTTTTTTCTTTCTTTTAAAAATTTGATTCATTATTAATAATTTGTTTCTAATATTAGGTTTGACCGATCCCATAACGGGATCAGCGCTTGGATCAACAGGATGATGTACTCCGACCTCAGGAGGGGATACAAAACCTTCTCGGTGATGCCTGACAACGTGAAGGAGTTGTGGTTTCGTCAGTTTGCTGTAAGTATTCTAACTTTTTTAAATTTCTTTTTTTTTCTTTAATATTATATTTTTACTAATCATGTTTTTTTTCAGCAAGAGTTCACCTGGCATCCCGATAACACGACGTTCATCCGTAACGCCTTCGTCCATAAGTGTATGGAGAACTATGGAAGGCAACTATATGAGTGGAAGCAGAAGTGGCTCAAGAATAAGGTACTATCTTTTTTACTTTATTACTATATTTTCATTCTATTTAACTTTTTCATATTTTTTTTTATTAAAAGGTCCCAAAGTCGATCAACACGACGATCTGGCAGGAGTTGTGTATCCATTGGGACAAGACCGAGACGAAGGAGATCTCTAACACCAACTCCACCAACCGCAAGAGCGATCGTGGCAGGAAGGGAATCTTCGTGCACAATTTGGGTGCTCAGTCTATTCCCACTCTCGCAGACAAATTGGTAAGTTGAAACTCCTTTTCTTCTAAATTTTAAATATTTTTATTTTTTCTGTATTCTAATGTTTTTTTTAACTTATGTGTTTTCCTAGGCGGAAGAAAATGATGGCGAGACCGTGGGTGATTTCGATTTGTACAAGAGGATCCACACTAACAAGACGACGGGCCAGATTGATGACGGTCTTGCGCAGGAAGTGGTCTCCCTGGTGGACAGTATGAGGGAAGACGAAGAGGCCCGTCTCTCCCAGATCCAGACCGATCTCGACTCCACATCCACTGCATTGACTGCCCTCCCCAAAGTTCGAATCGACGAGCTTCTTGTATCGGTAAGATATTTTCTAAATATTCAATTCATTTATTTATTTTGTAATCTTTTTTCTATGATTATAATTTTGAATTTTCTTTTTCAGGCGATTCCAAAGAAGGGACGTTTGGTCGGTTTGGGTCGTCGATCCAAGCCGATTCCTCCTACATCCTAGGTGCCAGTTGATCCTATGCTGATAGATCAACTGAAGGATAAGGATGACCGCATCGTTATGTTGGAGGTGAAGATGGCGGCTCAAGAGGCTGCTAGTGAGGCAGCAAGGAGGCGGAGTGAGAGGATGATGGAGGCGGAGGGAGAGGATGATGGAGGCGTTCTTGAAGAAATTCCCAGACCATAACTTCGACGACGACGACGAGCATTTTATTTCTGTTTTGAATTTTATTTTTTGTTTCTGTTTTGAATATTACTTTTTAACATTATCTATATTATGTTTTTATTTGAATTTCAATTTTCAATTTATAAAATTTTAATTTATTTTCGAATTTTAATTTTTAAAAAATAAATTTATATTATTTTTAAAAAAATAAATATTATGAATATTCCGAGGAATGATATTCCTCGGAATATTCCGAGGGATACCATTCCTCGGAATTTCCTAGGTATATTCCCAGGAAGACAATCCGTCGGACTATTCCGAGGAACATCATTCCTCGGAATTTGCCGAGGGTTAGAAGTCCTCGAAATATTCCGACGGATTGCTTCCTGGTAAAATTCCGAGTAATTTTATCCCTTGGAATTTTCTGTGGGAATTCCGACCAATGATTCCATCGAAAATCTTCCTCAGAATTTCCTCGGAATTTGGATCCGTCGGAATGTCCTCGGAATATTCCGAGGAAATTCCGACGAATACTGAGAGATTTTTCCGAGGGACTTTTTGTTCGGAATATCGTCGGAATCGCTTGATTCCGACGACATTTCGAAGAAAAAATCCCTAGAAATCGAGGTGTTTTCTTGTAGTGTGGGGACCAAACTTCATTCCAAAAAGATGTCTTTTTACCATTCTTCACTTCCACTTTATCAAACTGCTTTGCTCTGTCTCTATATTTCAATATTTTCTTCCACATCCAAGAGCCTAAAACAGTTTGCTTCACATTCCATATTGAACCTATTCGTATGAGATAAGTATATACCCATTTTACCCATAACGAATATGCAGATAATATCCTCCTTATCAACTTCAAGATACAAACTTCATTTATCTAAATCAGTGGCCTAATACCCAACCCTCCCTCTTGTTTGGTTTGACATATGTTCTTCGTACTTTTGATTATCACTGTGTTTCTTGATTATATCTTTTATATGTTATGAAAACTTTTTTTTGACAAAGATATTATGAATGTTGAAATGAGATTAACCAAATAAAGTTTTCCATAAGATAGAAAAGAAAACTTAACGTTCATCCAGTGCAAATTACCTCACCATTCGTTTACCAAATAAAAAAAAACTAACTCTTATCTTTTCAAGGGAGAATGTTGTTTTGATTATCACTTCCACAGTTTCCTGTTTTGCTATCAACAGTAGTTCTTTGATTGTTGTTTCTCAAATATTATGAAAATTATGTGATTAGAAAAACCAAGAAAGTAATATATAAAGATCGTGGTGTGATAGTGGACGTGTAACCTCTTATCAGTTTCTTTGTTATTATAATTTTTCTCTTTGAGAAATTAATTTTTTTAAATGATATTTAAAAAAAAAATTAGTTGTAAAAAACATATGTTATTTTTAGAATTGTCAAATGACTTTTGTTTTATAGTAGTATATAAGAAGATAAAGACCAACTATAGGGTGACATGTGTTAGATATCAAGGGTTCTAAAGGGTTGGTGCAGACTGCAGAGTATCGGTTGTGAAGATTTTGATTTTGATTTTGATTTTGTTATTTATTTTTATTACTTTTTGTCTTAGATCTTCTCTAACATACGGACATTGGAGCTGTACTTACTCTATTAATGAGTGAGTTATAGTCTTTTTATGATAATAGAAAAGGGTGAATCTAATAATTAAAATCGATGTGAAAACTTTTACCAACTGTCGATTTTAATAGATACTGTGGATATGATTAACATAAAATCATCCAGAAAAATGCTCGATACTATTGACCGATAATGGAAAATACTCGATTATAGTCCAACCAATTATACGTGATTTCGTTCGACCAAGATCTTCAAAGGACAGAAGAAACAATATTAAAGGAGACAAGAGGTTTGGATGTCTCCTGCTTTCCCGCATTCTGTAATAAAAAAGGTCTGGGTACATCATGTCCAGAAATAATTATTTATTATTCGCTTTATTAAATGTTTAATGTGTATGTATGCTATAATTTTACTTACAAAGCAAAAGAGAAGTTTCATATATAGACTTATACTTTCGAATCTTATGATCATGTCCCTCACTTCCGTATCAAGTTACACTTTCTTACTATCATTGTGCCTTTATTTTCTTTATAACCCAAAATCTCTCCCGAAATATAGATTATTCTTAAATCCACCAAGTGGTGAATTTGTATTATATTGTTCGGAATATTTAAAAAAGGTTAACATAACAATCAGAATCAGTGAAAAGCATGGCCAACACATAAGAAGTGAGAACGACTAACAATACAATTAATTATCGCCTAACACAAGTTTATAATATTTATTAAAATATATTCTGTCCCGGGGACAATATCATTTTAGGATCATATCTATATTTTCTCTCAACAAAAACATTCCACCTCGGACCAAAATGTCTAACCCATCCTTCTTGTGGTGAAAAGTAAGGAAGATATTGTTTGACTCCCATGCTAGCATCCTCACAAAACTTTATTACTTGCATGTTTTCTTTTTCATAATCTTCCCAATTGTCAAAACTGGCCGATCGTAAGAACCCTACCGCATAAAACACATCTTCTTCAGGTATAGCGGTAGACATTCGATCATCCCACCTGAAATAAAACATCGATATTTAGTAACTTAAAATATATTTATTTATTTATAAAAATTGAATAATGTAGAAAATGTGGCTATATTGATTATAACTTACTTGTTGCGATTCATGGGATAAACAAGAAGGGGACCAGTGGTGATGTTATTTCTAAGGAGAATACCCTTAAAAATGCCATAGTCGAATCTTAAAATCTGAGATTTTGGTACGAAAAGATTAAGCCATGGATGTGGAACATCCCATTGGCCTTTGGATTTCAGTTTTAGCTCTCCGGTTCGAACCCGGTTTAAGAAATCCATATAAGTCACATCTTTCTCGTACACAAACCCTCTTACATAGTTTAAACTGTCCCCCAACTCCTCCATTTCCTGCATAGTGTAAATGATTGAGCAAATTAATAATAGTATAATTATGAAGGAATTCCTTAGTTTTGACTTATGAGTAAAGATCCTAATAATACTTGTATAATTGTGTATATTGTGTACGGACCTGGTTGACTGAGTGTTGAGAAGTTTCGTCGTAATACTTGACGACTTCAAGGCAGTAGATGACACGATGTTCTTTGACCATTGAGACGATCCTCAAGTGATCAGTCGGTGGATAGTAAGTGGATCTCCAGTTATCTGGTGGGCCATGGTCCAGCAAAACGGAACCTTCCACGAAATTTAGACCGTTCGTTTCTGATATCAATCGTTCTTGGTCTCTTGTAAATTCGGAGAAATCAGTGTATAGAAACCTTAACCATTTAGCCTGGAAAGTGTCCAAAGATTGCAGATATTCTTATTCATAAACTTTATAGATTTGATTAGGTAATATATATATAACATACGTATCATTATATAATTTGCATATTTAACATACCCTTTTCGGAGCTAATTCGAGTTTGATTCTTGCTCTTGTTATTATTCCGAATTGACCCAAACCTCCTAACGCGGCATAGAAAAGATCTGCGTTCATGTGTTTGGAACAAGTTGCAATCTCTCCTTTTCCTAGGAAATTCAGGGTAAAACAAAACGGACCCAGTTAGAAAGTTTACTCTTAACGTTTTCAACAAATACAGCTAGTTTAATTCAGATAAAACTATTGTTGTTTTGAGCCTAACGTGTTAAAGTTGGTGTCACTAATTTATCTTATCTCCTAACCAAACAATGGAACTAGAAAGTCATCGTAAACTAACTACACTTGAAAACAACAGTTGTATTAATGAACGTATGTATATAAATATGTTGACAAAGGTGAATATGGAATAGATGCATGTGTAGACATAATGCATACAGCTATAATAAGCAAAATTGACTGTTACTTAAATCCATTACATCTGGTTAAGACCAAACGTTATAAAAACACCTCCAATAGAGATTGTATTCATTGGAGTTCTTAAAGTATATATATATATATATATATATATATTATATATGTATATGTAGGTGTGGGGTCTATTATTTTGTGGAAAACTCCATCTTAAAGGTTCTTAATTGAAAGTTTTAAGAATTTTTAGAGTAAATTTCTCCACAAAATAATAGACCCCAAATCTACATACACATATATAATATATATATATATATACAATTTAAGAAATAGTAAAACTCTTCACTGGAGGTTTCTTATATACAAAGTAATAGATCCCACACCTTCATTGGAAATGTTCTAAGCTTTAGAGTTTTGTCCTTATGCCATAAGAGCATTTTTAACCCTAAGAATCTTTTAGGGGATTGTTAAATTTTTTTATTTTTTTTGTTGGGTTTTTAGTAATAAAAACCCTCAACTAAAGATGGATCGTAAAAAACACCCTCAACTAAATATTTAGTGAAATAAACCCTCAACTTTAGTTCTGTTAATGTTTCTCACCCTCCGTCACAGAATTTTAGACGGAGGGTGACATACGTTAACAGAGCTAAAGTTGAGGGTTTATTTCACTAAATCTTTTTTTTTCACTGAATCCTTAGTTGAGGGTTTTTGTTACGATCCATCTTTAGTTGAGGAGTTTTATTACCAAATAAGATTAAATATTTGAAAATCTTTATTATCATTTATTCATTAGTTAAGAATCTTAAAATTGATTTATAAACATTGAAAATCATTTATATTTTTTATATATTACTTTATCAATTTTATAGCCTATTTATAAAGTTTTCTCATTTAATACTTTTTATAGATTATTATTAAAATTTAATGATGATTTTATAAGATTAAAGATGTGATTATTCGTCATACTACAAAAACATGAAGTAAATAAATAAAACAAGAAAACCTTATTGATTAATATGGTAGGAGTATAACATATAGTTCAGAAATTAAAAAGAAGAAAAATAATCCTACATTATTTCTTCTGAAACGGAAAAAAGTACAAATCAAATTGAAATTGTTTAAAGAGGAGAGAAAAGCCCTAGCCATATTTTAAGTAACAATGTTGAATTTCTAAACTAAATATACATTCTCAAGACTACCTATACAACTTTATATAACTTAGAAATCTTAATTATTTGATATTTGACAGTATTAATATAAGAAAATTGTATGTGTTTCCTCCTTTATAAAGCTTTATCGCTTTACTTCGTGATATCAAGAAAAATCATGTAATGTTTCATCCTAAGAAATAGCAGACAAAACCTTATAAAATCATTGTTAAACCTTATTAATAGTTTATAAAAAATATTAAAATATTTATTAAGCTTTATAAATAGGTTAAAATTTTGATAAAATAATATATAAAAAATTATAAATTATTTTCAATGTTTATAAATCAATTGTAAGATTCTCAAATTATAAATAAATGATAACAAAGATTTTAAAATATTTAACTGCATTTAGTAATAAAACCCCTCAACTAAAGATGGATCTTAACAAAAACCTTCAACTAAAGATTTTGTGAAATAAACCCTCAACTTTAGTTCTGTTAACATATGTCACCCTCCGTCTAAAATTCCGTGACGGAGGGTGACAAACATTAACGAAACTAAAGTTAATGGTTTATTTCACTAAATCTTTAGTTGAGTGTTTTTTTTACGATTTATTTTTAGTTGAGAGATTTTATTACTAAAAACCCATTTTTGTTTGATTTTTTTTTTAAATTAACTAATTGCAGGTCATCATGTGTCAGTAAACCTGCGAACAGTAAAAGAATTCTCCAAGAGTCGCCTCTTGAACAAGAGATGGAAGGAATGGATTTTAGTTTTTTTTTGTGGAGTCCACACCCTCTAAGAACTCCTTAAAAACCTGGGTTAAAGGTGCTTAAAAAAAACTCGTGAAAAATCATACGCGTGGGACCCTTTCTAGCTGATGTTTTTGTCTTTTTTTTTTGGTTGGTCACCTAGTTTTATGAACAGTTAATGTATGACCATCATGTAAATTTCGCAGTAGATTCAGCAAAATGTTGATAATATGTAACAATTATAAAAATAAAATTTCAGAACAGTTATTTATCAACTTATAATATATTTTGTTATCGAAATATAAAATGAATAAAAACATAAAATCATATAGCCCGTATGTGTTTTCTACTCATCGACACAAAAATGTGATTAGCTATATATGTGTGAAAGAAGAAAAGCTATCAACATGTTCGAGAAATAAACCAAAAAGAGACAAACAATACCAACAAAACAAGAGCATAAACATAAGTGACCGCACAGATCTAAAGGAAAAAACGAAAAACGTACGACATTTTATTTTTATTTTTATCGCCAAACGTACGAAATTAAAGTCATTATTGTTTCATATAATTTAGAATGCATGTAAAATCATGGTACGTACCAGTAATAACATCCATCTCTAGAACATTACTGATCTGTGGACCATACCGAAACGTTTGTCCGCTTATACCGCCGTTAGATAACGTTCCACCGACCGTTAAATACAAATAATCCGTCCAAGAAACCGGCGTTAACCCTAACTCCAATGTTTTATTCAATACCTCAATCCATAGCCACGCACTGTCCACGTCAGCGTATAAACCGGTCCTAGACACCTTAATGCCTCGGTCCAAGTTTACCATTGACCGCATGTTGATTACGACTCCGTCTTTGGCGGCGGCTTGGCCACGGTGGCTGTGTCCGTGGCCACGAGCGGCTAGAGGAAAAGAGGGTTGAGAGTCAAAAGAAAGTTTTATGAGTTCGGTGATGTCTTGGATGGAGGAAGGGTTTAAGACGGCGGAGGGAAGGATTTTGGTGATGTGGCCAAAATCAGTGGCAGTTGATTCGACGGAGGAGGATGCGGTAGTGAGTTTTCCGGCGAAGTTGTCGCTGGATAGGATGTCCCATGGTGGTGGTGAAGTGTTGGTTGTGATCGGAGTTAAAAGAGGTGTGATGATAACTAAGATTGTTATTACTAGAAGATGAATTTGTGATGGATAATTATAACTCTGCATAATTTTTTTCTTTCAAAGAATAGATGGTTTTTAAGAACACTTTTAACATGATTCTAATGAAGAGTCGTAGATGTATATTTATAGCCCACCCATGGACACACACATGTTTCTGTATGTTATTTTGTTTGAGATTATTATTAGCTAGATAATAATGTCCTAACCCATTTTTATTTCTTTCAAAACATTTTTTTTTGTGTATCAACGAACTAATTCTTTTAGAGCTAATAAATTCGTAATGCATATTTCTATAATAATTAAGTAATTATGTTGACCCATTTAAAATTGCTAGATAAGTATATATAATTTTGTTTAAAATTATTAATATAATGGTTATAAGTTATGTAATGAATATATAAACTTTCGCAGTCACGTGAGAATCTTAATTAAGAAACCACTGACTTCAACAACCAACCTCTTCGCTCGTTAGTCAAATGGTTTTGGAAAACTATACCACAGTCCATTTTGTGCATTACACATTGAAATTTCTTTTGTAACATCAAACATGTAACCCAACCAAATGGTATTCACATTTCAAAATAAAATGCACTTTCTTTTGATATTGGGTATGTGCATTTTGGATACCATGAAGAAATTCAGACTTTAGGGTTCACGACAAAGAAAGAGTAATTATATATATATATATATATATGTATATATCTGTCAAGAAGGAATAGCTATTCTCAGCCAACTACTAATATTGTAAATTGCACTAGTTAATTGATTTGGTGATAACAGATTAAACTAACATAATATTGTAATTAGTCATCATTACCACCACCACCATAATCATCATCATAACTGTGATTAAGTTTTAATTTGAGAAAACAATCATTAAATCCTTTAATTTTCAAATTAAAGGAAAAAAAAATCTTCAATTTGTGTTTGAGCCAAAATTCCTCAACTTTCAAATATTGGTAGTTTAATTTTTTATTTTGTTGACTCGGCCATTTAAAAAACATGAATGTTCAACTGTTAAACTCGATAAAAAATATAGACGCCTGATAACATTTTTAACAACTTTAACAACTGATTAAATAATAACCAAATAACGTCGTTTTACTTTTGTAAACACCTAAAGCACATTTTCGTGAAATTAGAACTTCAAGTTGACTTCATTTTTCTCATTTTTGATGAGGAAGAAGAAGTGGATTTGAGACTCTGGATTAATGAAAGAAATGCTTTAAGTGTTTAAAGAAGCAAAATAAGGCTGTTGGATTAAATTTTTGAAACGGTATCGTTTAGAGAATTAACAGACATCTATTTTTTATAAATCAAATTTAATAGTTAACTATTCAAGTTTTTAATGGTAAGAAAAATATGAGAGTTAAAAGGGCGGATCCTTGAGAGTCTTAAGATGGAATCAAGGGGTTGATAGTGTTTGTGTGTTGTGCAAGAATTCCCCTGAAACTAGAGATCATCTATGAGTGTGCTTTCTCATCTCAAGTATGGTATCATATAGTTGAGGGTATTCTTTGCAACGACTACCCAACGGACTGGTCTGACATTGTGAGACTGATTACCGATTCATCTATGGACAAGAAAAAGCTATTCTGCGTTAAATATGCTTTCCAGGCTACTGTTCATACACTTTGGAGGGAGAGGAACAATATAAGTCATGATGATAAACCGATGCCGTTGGATGGTTTGAAAAAGTTGATAGAGAAAGGAGTGAGGAACAAGTTGAGACTTGTTAAAGCAAAAGGGAGAAGAGGTCCTACAGTTTTGGTTTAGTACAAGGTTGTGAATATTTAATGTTTGGAGTATAAGGGGAATGAGTCAGTTTGTTTATACAAATTATGCACTTGATGTAAAAAGGTTTTTTGATGAATAAAAATTTAACATTCATTCAAAAAAAAAGTTGAATTTTTTAAATACAAGTTAGAGATTTTTTTTTTATTTTAGTTTGAAAGTTCGAGATTTCATTGGTTGTTTTCTCGTTTTAATTTGGAAAATACAAAAAATAATTAATGAGCATGTACCATAATCATAATGAGAACTGGACATTGGCCTTAGATCACCATGTACAAATATCTCCTACGAATAAGAATCATTAGATAGGATCAATCACAATTATGTTACAATTTGGATAAGTTTTGTAGTTTGGTTCTGAGAGTTAAAATTGCCCTATACATAAAACTAAAAACTATAACGAAAAGAGGATGTTGCAAGAAATCGCATGTTGCAAGAAATTAATATGCCTTATTTTATGCATTTCTATTATAATATGTTTTAATCGTTAAAACTTTTCCTACCATATTGTTACAACTACCGGTTAAATGTTTCATACTTTGGATAAATTGATTATTATTGGAGAACATTCTCATTTAATATCCCTACAAGATGATGTTTCCTTGACACAATTAGGTCATCATCTAAAGAATCTATAAGATCTTCTTCCAGTCTGAATGATTTTATTAACTTTTATGCCTTTTTACAAAAAGAAGAAGAAGAAGAAATTATAAACTTTTCTTCCTCGCGGCTATAGAAAAGTATCGTTAATTATTACAATAAAAGAATTTTCATTAATCTGATAATTAAAAATTGTAGACTAACTTCGTAGATTCGTGGTTAATCATTGTGCCGTAAATAAACAATAGAAAGCAAGACATGGAATATCCTACAGATTTCGTTGTGTTTGTTTCGTTTGCCACATGTTAACTTGTTGTCGCTACATAGTATATTTTATTTATTTATTATTACTGATATACTATTGCAAAACCGTGATAGTCGCACGTGTAGTTGTCATTTTCCTTCCTTCTTTATGTCTAGAGAACAATTTATCAACGATGATATAGATTCACAAAAAATAAAATAAAAAAATCAACGATGATATAAGAAAATATTTTATGAATGACGACCGAAACGACAAGTGGTTATCTGTGCTTCTTTAAGAATTAATTAGGACCACCCAATAAGGCGACCCCGTAACTGGAACCTGCAAATTTACAAGATCCTCATCCTTTTTTTTCCTTACTCTATCAGGCACTTTAACTCACTTTCATATGTTATTGTAATTGTATCTCACGATGAATAAAAAGAAGACGAATATCATTAAAAATATTCGTGATATATAATGTAATAATGGAATTGTTTTGGAGCGAAAAAAGTGAATGAATATAGGGTATTAGTCTAATGATTTCAATTCGTGGGCACATTTTGCTATATTCGTATCTCTTAAGATTTAATAAAATAAGTACTATTTGAGTTGTCTTCAGCCTTTATTTGGCCATGCATGCATCATCATGCTCCTTATATGTTCCTTCGTTAATATTATCCATTCATCATTATAAGATTCAAGACGCATGTGCGCAGACCCTTAATAAGTGAAATGTGTTTTTGGTTTAAAATACGATTCGCATAGTTGGTGAACGTAATTGCGATCTAAGTTAATTTCGAATTACGTCAGAACAGAAAGACAATAGTACAATTAGAGCTTGTACACTTTAAATTTGATTCTTGAAGACGTCACTACAAGAAAAAGGGTCGTTTCTGACGGGCAAATCCGTTAGAAAACGGTTAGAAATGGTCTGTTCTGACCGATTTTCGACAGAAACGCCTGTCAATTCTATTTCGTCAGAAATTTCGAATCGGTCAGAAATCGGTTGGAAATTTCCAACCGATTTCTGACCGATTTTTTTTGGTCAGAAATTTCCAACCGAGAGACCGTTAGAAATTTCTGACGGACTATCCGTCAAATTTTTCTAACCGGCACAGCCGTCAGAAATTTCTGACGGTTAAAACCGTCAAATATTTTTGACGACTTTTGCGGTCAGAAAATTTCTGACGACTATGACGGTCAGAAATTTCTGACGGTCCGACTGTCAAATATTTCTGACTGATTCTTCCGTCAGAAATTTAATAAAGTTTTTTTTTAATTAAAAATTCTATTTGTACTATATTATATGAAATTAACAATTAAGATAAATAAACAAATTTTAATACACAAAAGTTTAGATAACTAAAACAAAGTTTACAATGTCTTAAGAAAACATAACCGAGTTAATAATACATAAGAGTGCCGAAAAAACATAAAATAAGATTTTTGAAACACATTACTCGGGCTGTGAAGGTGAGAAAGACTGTGAAGCTGAGAAATCTTCAGGATAAACCCGAGAGATAAAATCAGTGACGGCTCGAAGTTCTACCTCCAAAGCCCGTCGCTTTGTCCGCTCTTCATTGAGGTCTGTCTTCAGCTGTTCCATCACATCCATAATTCCCGAGGAAGCAAATGTTTCTTGGCTACTAGAGGAGATCCCCTCTGAAATACGGCCTAAACCATAGCGACGGCCTTTCTTAACCGGGATATTCTACAAACATAAAAGACAAATTTAATAATAATAAAAAGAAGATAATAAGAGGACTATCAAGGAATGTTAGCTGCAATGAAATACCTCAAGAACCATCTGGTTAATCTCTTCGCGGGACATCACGTTTGAAGCTGTAGATCCTTCAACTGCACACATCTGAGACTGCTGGAGTTGTGCTTCTTTCTCTGCTTTCATCTTCTTCAAACTGTCCAACAACTCTCTAGCAACAGGATCTTGCACCTCACCGGTCTGTTTATTGGTGTGCATATCCTCCATCAAATCTAACCATGATGGTGGCACACCACCATTTTCAGCAGTCTAGCATCATAGAAATTGTCAATTCAATGGTAAAGCATAAGTTAAAAAATCATATATGTAAAGCTTACCATTTCAATCTCGCGTTCCTCTCTCGTCTTTGCACCGCAATTATGTGTGGACACACCTTTCCCACCACGCTGGCTTTTCCTATTCTTAGAATTGGTTTCTGCGATAGATGCAGTCTCATCTAGTTGCCAATACGCTTTCAATCCAAGCCACACATTTTCATCCAGACCTATGGGCTTATCCTTCTTCAGCTTCCACTTTTTCTTCCAAAAAGTCATGTTGCTCTTGTACTGCTTGTTAGCCTGCATATTAAAGGCTGTCCGCACTTCTTCAGTGTGAGCGGGATCCCAATTCCAGTCTTGCTGCAATAAACAAACAGTTCAAACATAATTATAAATAATAAAATCAGATTATAAATAACAACGTCAAATTACAAAATGGAAAAGACAACTCACCGCAAATGAACGAAGCCACATCCTCTTTGTTACTATTGGTACATGGGCATAAGTCGGATAGCATTCAAGGAGGGTATGGAAGCATTTCAAAATGGACTTGCAAATAGCATTCCGGTTCCTTTTCCTAAACCTGAAAAAGAAAATCATCATTAATATTGCAATATAAAATTTGATCATATAAAGAAAAAGAGTTTACCAAAAAGTGTTTGGTTCATCATTTGGGCTCAGCTTCGGAATGCACTCTCGTCCTGGTGCCAGCAACAGCTCGTTGAGTAACCTATCTTCGATGATATATGCTGAAGTGCATGGTTGTGGCGGGGGGACACTTGTTTGTTGCACTGAAGCAGAACCAGTTTCAGGAGATGTAGCGGATGG